CAGGGAGTTTGGATGTGTCTGTGGAGCTTCCATGACCTTTCCTTGTACAAGTTGTGCTGGTTTCCCCAGTACTGTGTACTGTCTTACCCTTCACCAAAGTTACCACTTATCTATTGTCTGTTTAGTTTTCCCCCCACCCCTCCTATTCCTTGTAACCAACAAAGATTGTTTCTTTTTGTGCATAAACTTTTACATGAGTTTTTACTGTGTAGGTCTCATATAATACTTGTCAAGGCTGTAATCTTTATGAAGTCGACTGCCATATCATTTCTTCTGCGCAGTGGCTGGTGGGTTCAAACTGTCCACTTTTAGGCTAGCAGCTGAGTGCTTTAACTGCTGCACCACCAGGGGGTAGTAGTGTCCCCATTTTTCAAAAGAGGAAACTGAGGCAAAATTTGATAAAGACCTTGTTAAGCTCACTTCTTAGTAAGTGATAGAGTAGGGGGTTAAAGCCCAGGTTAGTCTTGATCCATAGCCTGTGCTCTAGTCTAAATAGCTTTTGCTGTACTGCCTAGATTGAGACATTTGTTTTACAGAGGGCCTGGTCTGCTTCACGGTTTGGCATTGCTGATTCTCTGATTTAAAAAGATACCTTTATGTCACAAAAAGTTGGTCTGTTTTCATATCTTTATTATGTATGTAAATATATTTCTATTGTGAGAAACATGAATCTGTTTAATCTGGATAGTCAAATTCTATGTTAGAGGATTATTGTATTTATTCAAGTGTATGTAAACATGAATGGTTTAATATCTATTTTCAAGTGAGAAATAGGATCAAAGTTTTTTTGAAATGTTAAAACATCTTGTAGAGAAAGCAAAGGTTATATGTGTTTTCTAAAAATGATTTATTTATAACTGCTTATTCTGGAACCTTTTATTCAAAGTGCAGTCTGTGGAACAATGGCATTGGCAACACTTGAAGCTTGTTAGAAATGCATAATCTCAGGCTTCACCCCAGACTTTTAAAATCAGAATCTGAATTTAACAATATCCCTAGGTGATTCTTATGTACATTAAAGTTTGAGAGGCACCAGGAAACAAGAGCTTAAGTCAGTATTTTAAATATATAAATTTAAAAGTTACCAGCAATGATGGAAGATTCCTTTGTTGTCCCACCTGACTGTATTTTTTGTACATTTAGGTGGGTCACCACCACAACCAGTTGTACCAGCTCATAAAGATAAGAGTGGAGCTCCACCAGTTAGAAGTATATATGATGACATTTCCAGCCCAGGACTTGGATCGACACCTTTAACTTCAAGAAGACAAGTAATATACATACGCTTATGATCGAAAATAATTTCATGTTTTTATGTGACTATACAGTGTTAATTTTAAGTGTTTTCCTAGGGTCTATTTTAGTGTAACTGTACTTCACAAAATAAACATTAAGTACATGTATTGTAGAATCTACTTAAATTGTGTTTATCATAAAGTGTGCTTAAAAATGTAGTAGAACTCCAGATTATTTTTTCATATAAGTAGTTCGTAGTTTTTATAGTTATGCCTTCTCCACCTTCCCATGATCCTTGTTATTGTTGGATGTGATCGAGTAAATTCTGACTCATAGCAGCCTCTTGTGATAGAGTTGAACTGCTCTGTAGGGTTTTCTTGCCTATAGCCTTTATGGAAGCAGATTTCCAGGTCTTTCTCCTGCAGAGCTGCTGGGTGGGTTTACACTGCCAACCTTTCTGTTACCAGCTGAGCACTTAACTGTTGTGCCACCAGGGCTCCTTCCCATGACCCTAACTTATTTCATATACATGTAGAATATGATCAGGATTTTGTCATTCTAGTTGTTAAAAATGTTTAATATTTATACATAATTCTGTGAAAGAACAAATGAAAATTCAGGGTTTTATCCAAACACAGGGCACTTTGTAATTATTTGAGATCTTTGTTTTAGGAATAGTTTGTATTAATATAAGACCAATATCCTTTTAGAGCTTTGTTCACAGTTAATTATTTTACAAAAAAAGCTGCCTCCTGCTTCTTTATCAGCTCGTCATCGATGTTCCTGCTACTTTTGGTGTAGGTGTTCTGATAGTGTTTTTATCAGTCATAGGTTATGGAATGTAGAGATTCTCTGTTCCGATGGGACCAATAGTGACCAGAAAGTATCTATTACTTAACTGAGTACTTACTGTGTACGGGCCTTGATCTTACAACTTCTTATGTATTATTACCTTGTTTAATCCTCAGAAATATTCTATGAGGTAGATACTGTGAGCTTCATTTTACTAATGAGGACACTAGAACATAGAAAGGTTTCATTTGTTAAAGGTAAGGCAGCTAATACATAGCAGAGCCAGGCTTCAAACCCAGGCAGTCTTGAATCTAGAGCTAGTGTTTATAATAGCCATGCTGTGCTAATACTATTCTGACAACTCTTGATTGTGAATTAAAGGTAGTATGGATTTTTCCTTTAAGTGGAAGTTTAATATCTTTTACAGATACAAATGTTCTTTCCTATCACAATTGTTCTTAGGATGTATAAACAAAATGTATCAGTTGAAATGATAGTTCTTTGTATTAAGATATTTCTGCTGTTGTGTTTGGAGAAATGTTTTATGCCTGTTCCTAAATCAAATTTGGCATAGTGGTCGAGTTTATGAATAGTAGAAAACATCTTTCAGTGAGTTTTTACTGTTTATAGTTTGATATGCCTGGCATATTAGGCCTGCTTGTCAAGTAAAGCAAAATTAATTCATCGTGTTAAACAGATTACCGTCTCTTTCCAATACTTATATACCTTCCCTGTCCAGTACAGTAGCCACTAGCCAAGTCTGGCTGTTGACACTTGAAATATGTCTAGTGCTAATTGAGATATGCTGTAAGTGTAAATACACACTGGATTTTGAAGACTTAGAAAAAAGAATGTAAGCTGTCTCAATTTTTTATATTGATTATGTATTGAAATGGTAGTATTTTGGATATGTTAGGTTAAACTATGATAAGTTAATTTCACCTGTTTTTCAATATTTAAAAATATTGACTGGAATAATTAGAAGTACTTGTGTGACTTGTATTATATTTCTAATGGACAGTGCTATCTAAACTTATTAATTAAATCAGAATATTCTAGTCTGGAGTATTTTTATAAAGGTTAATAAGTAACTCTGATGTTTAGTTTGGTATGAAAACTACTGGCTTATAAATTTATGCCAGTTTTCATTACTCCTTGATGATACATGGAAACAAAGGTAGTTTACATATACATAGTTCGTAGTGGAGTCCTTGGGTTAAGTGCTCAACTACTAACCAGAACGTTGGTAGTTCAAATCTATGTGGAGACTCCTTGGAAGAAAGGCTTGAAAACCCTATGGTGTGTGGTTCTATTCTGTACACTTGCAGTTGCCATGAGCCAGAATTGACTCAGCAGCAAATAGTTTTTGCTGTATTCAAAATATTTAAAAGTCTTGTGAGTCATAATTTATGGAGAATATTTTTGACTTGAAAGTTGGTAAGAATATTAACACTAGATTAGAGCTTAATTTAGTTATGCCCCCTGAGACTTAATTGACCTCTTCTGATCAAGAAAGAAGTTGGCATTAAGAATTAAGCAATTAATCTTTGCATCTCTCCTAGCATTCTCTGAATATTTGGTTCTGGTTACGAGATATAGTCAGATTTTAGATTTTCTTAGTGTAATCAGAATCTGTTAAAAAAATCTATGTATTTACTTCTAGAGAAAGAATCCTTTCTCATTCTTGATTGAATATTGTCTTTGTTTATAGAAAGATATTTAACTATAATCGTCTCACGTTTAAACCAACTACTGTTGGTAATTTTTCTGCTTTGCAATTTTCTACTCGTAGTGGAAGGGGAATGCTTTCTTTTGTTTTGTAGTCAGATTTGAATCTATAATATTTCATGGTTTGTAAGTCTTTGTTTAAAATTCTGCTGTCTTTCTATCTTTTATATAAACTTAATGGTTTTCAAATATTATACGTTAAACCCGTTGCTGTTGACTCAATTCAGACTCACAGTGGCCACACAGAACAGAGTAGAACTGCCCCATAGGGTTTCCAAGGAGTGACTAGTGGATTTGAACTGCTGGCCTTTTGGTTAGCGGCCAAATGCTTAAGCACTGCACCACCAGTTCCACCCATTGTACGTTAGGAACTAAAAATAAATAGCTACCCTGCCACTGTCTATTAAAAATGCTCTTTTTAACAATTGTTACTTTTCTTATTTTAAACAAATAATATATTAAAAGATCTAGCATATTTTAGGTTAACACTGCTCAACTTGTTTTTTTTCTAAGTTAGGGAGTACTCTTAGATTGTAAGCTGCTGAAAGACATCCCCACCGCCTGGTAGACATTCATTTGTCTGTTGAATGAAGCCTTTCAAAACTTTTTGTTTATGTTATGGTTAGAACTTTGGGTTGTTTTTTTTTTTTTTTTTACCATTAATGCTTTTTTCTATTTTCATGTAGGCAAACATTTCAGTACTGCAGAGTCCTCTTGTTGGAGTTACCACAACTACTCCTGGAACAGGTAAGCAACTCCTTTTAGCAAAAAAACGCTATTCTTTACTCTTTGAATGAAGATAATATAAACCTTTTGTTAATATTACCAAAAGCTTTTCTCTTTTAGTCCAAATTTTGAGACTTTTCTCAAACATCGGTAACTTCCTTCGGGAAGGGAATACTCTGTGTATTGATTCTGTTCTGAATATATAGATAAGATGTGATATTCTATTCAAAATGTTAAGAATTTGAAAAAGTAGATACATACTTAATTGGACGTTTGAAGTGTCTTCTGAGTTATTTAAAATTGTGTAATAAAAAAAACTGTTGCAATTAGGAAGAAAAGAAATACTTGAGAGATTGAATAATAAAGGTGTTTTGAGAGATATTAGTATATAGCTCTATATCTAAATGTCATTGACTGTGAACAGCCACAGATTATATCTAGTGTTTCTTTAAGATTAATGACATTTTTATCACCATCAGCACACTTGTTACATCTCAGTCTTTGTTTACTAGTGCTGCTGTAACAGAAGCACCACATTTTAAAGAAAAGGAATTCATTTTTTCACAGTTTAGGAGTGTAGAAGTCCAAATTCAGGGCACCGCTATAGGGGAAGAATCTCTGTCGTCTCTAGGGAAAGATCCTTGTTTCAGCTTCTGTAGCACCGGCATTCCTCAGCTCCTTGTCAATCGGCACTGTCATCTGTCTTCCCCCTGTGTATGCTTGCTTGCTTCAGTGTCTCATCTGCTGTTTTTGTAACACAAAAGTAATTGGGTTTAGGACACACTCTACAGTAAAATGACTTCACTAACATAACACTATTCCAAAATGGAATTACATACACAGGTGTAGAGTTAGGATTTTAACACATATCGTTATATATTTATAATATCCTTATGTATTTATAATCCCACTGAATGTTCATTTGAACATCTAACCATGCACCAGGCTCTAGGAAACGGCAAACAAAATAGTTAATCCTTGCCTTTATGCAGTTTATTTTTATTTACAGAATTTACAATTATGAACAAAAAAATAAAATTTAAAGTTTGTTAGAAGATAATACATTTTAAAGAGGAAAAATTAAGCAGGAAAAGGAGATAGGGATAGGGGCTTAGAGTTTTAAATAGAGTAGTGTATCAGTTTGTTATTGCTGCTGTAAGGAATTCCTGCAAACAATACAATTTATCTTATAGTTCTGGAGGTCAGAAGTCCAGAATGGGTCTCACTGGGTTAAAAACTAGACATTGGACAGAGCTGTAGGGGAGAATCTGTTTTCTTGCCTTTTTCTCTTCTAGAGGCTGCTTATACTGCTTGGCTTATGGCTCCCTTTCTACATCTTGAAAACTAGCAATTTTGCATCTTTGACCATTCTCCCATAGTCACATTTCCCGAGGTTTCTTTTAAGACCCTTGTGATTACATTGGGCCCACCAGGATAATCCAAAATAATCTCCTTATTTTAAGGTCAGGTGGTTAGCAGTCTTAATTCTGTCCGCAAATTTAAATCACCTTAGTTATGTAATGTTACATATTCACAGATTCCAGGGATTAGAATGTGAACATCTTTGGAGGGTGGAGCATTATTCTGCCTACCACAGGGAGTTAGGGGAGAAGGAACATTTTCTCAAAAATCTGAACTAAGTGATAGAGGTAGGGAAAAATTTCAGACAGGAACATCAAGTACAAAGGCCCTGAGTTTTTCAAGGAAGAGTAAGAAGGCCAGTGTGGCTGAAGTAGAATGAGTGAGACGGAGAGTAATAGAAAATGAACTCAGAGAGGTGATGGGGACAGATTTTATAGGGACTTATAGGCCACACAACTGGTCTTTACCCAGAAGAGGTGGAACAATTAGAATGAGACTGCTGCTGTGTTGAAAATAGACTTTGGGGATAAGGGACAGGACAAGGATGGAAGCAGGAAGACCAGTTAGAAGGCTACTGCAATAATCCTAGTGTGAGATGGTGGAGACTTAGACATAAAAGAAGGCAAGAAAACAAACAGAGGAACAACAACGAAAAAAGATGGAAAATAGGAAATGAATATCAAGATCGTACTGTATTTTAATGCAAATAATGCATGTGTTGTATGTTTTTTTGCTAACTGCCCCCCTCATCTCACTGGGGGAGGGCACAGTTGGCAAAAAACTGGTATAACGCCTGTTATTTTCATAAAATATGGTAATACATTTAAAACTAACCAAATAAACAATTATATAAAATGTAAACAGACTAAACACTCCAGTTTAAATGTGGAGATTTTCAGAATAAGTGACAAAAGCAAGATACAACTACAAGCATCCTCCGAGTTTAGATTTCTTCAAGTAGTCTGTGAGCCCTCACTGACAGTGTCCTTAAAGTTCAGATATCTTCTAATGGTCTGTTCAAGGCAATTTAGACTTTCTCTGTCCTGCTCCTCAAAATTCTTCTAGCCCTCACCCATTGCTTGATTCCAAAACCACTTCCACATTTTTCAGTATTTGTTACAGCGCCCCACTTCTGGTACCAAAATCAGTGTTAGTTTTCTGTTACTGCCATAACAAATTACCATAAATTTAGTGGCTTAAAACAACATGTATTTGTTTCTCATAGTTTCTATAGGTCAGAAATCCAGGCACAGCTATGGCTGAGCTGGTTGTTTGCTCAGAGCTCAGGTGTTGGCAGGGCTATGTACCTTTCTGGAGGTTCTGGGAATGAATCCACTTCCAAGCTCATTCAGGTTATTGGCAGAATTCAGTTCCATGTAGTTGTAGGGCTGAGGTCTCTGTCTCCTTGCTGGCTGTTGGCTGAAAGTTGTTCTCAGCTTCTAGAGGCCACCCTTATTCCTTGGTTCAAGGCTCCCCTTCTTCAGTCTTAAAAGTCAGTGATGATGGATTGAGTCCTTTCCGTGCTTTGAATCTCTCTGACTTCACTCTTCTGCTTTCTTCAGTTGATTAGTAAACTTAATTCCATCTGCAAAGTCCCTTCACAACAATACTTAGAAGTGTTTGATTTAATTACCAGGGGACAGAAATCTTGGGAGGCAACATCTTTAGACTGTATATGTCATGGTAAAAACTCAAGAATGTCACATCATTCTTTCAGCCACGTTCGTACTTTGAGTGGAGTGTCCTAGTGGAATTAGAACAGCTTTTAACCAACCCTAACCTAATTAGACACCTATAACAAATAGGTAGATGATAACACTTTGTTACACACACACAGTGTTGTTGTTGTTAGGTGCCGTTGAGTCGGTTCTGAATCATAGCGACCATATGTACAACAGAACAAAACACTGCCCGGTCCTGTGCCATCCTCACAATTGTTATGCTTGAGCCTGTTGTTGCAGCCACTGTGTCAGTCCATCTTGTTGAGGGTCTTCCTCTTTTTCGCTGACCCTTTACCAGGCACGATGCCCTTTTCCAGGAATTGATCCCTCCTGATAATGTGTCCAAAGTATGTGTGACCTAGTCTTGCCATCTTTGCTTCTAAGGAGCGCTCTGGTTGTACATCTTCCAAGGTAGATTTGTTCGTTCTTTTGGCAGTCTGTGGTATATTCAGTATTCTTCACCAACACCACAGTTCGAAGGTGTCAGTTCTCCTTCGGTCTTCCTTATTTATGATCCAGCTTTCACATGCATATGAGGTGATTCAAAACACCATGGCTTGGGTCAGGCGCACCTTAGTCTTCAAGGTGACATCTTTGCTTTTCAACACTTTAGAGAGGTCTTTTGCAGCAGATTAGCCCAGTGCAGTGCGACATTTGATTTCTTGACTGCTGCTTCCGTGGATGTTGATTTTGGATCCAAGTAAAATGAAATCTTTGACAACTTCAATATTTTCTTCGTTTATCATGATGTTGCTTATTGGTCCATGATAAACACAAACAGTAGTGAATAATAATTCAGTTGTTTGAGTCAAGTAAGTGATCTGACAGACATTGAAAATGGCAGAAACACATCATGTTAAATGATGTATTTCATGCTTTCGTGGGTCTCTTAGTTGACTGAAAGTATAAATTACAATTTTCTTATTATCAAGTGGAAGAGCACAGGATTAAAGTTAACTAAATATCCTATGCTAACTTTTTATTCCCCCTGGTACAGTAATTTCTGTGAGGTTCTTGTAAGAGTAGAAATCATATATGAAAATACAAGAACTGTACTAGGAAAAATATACCAGTAGCATAAATTGGCCACAGGGAGCCACTGCTGCATCTACTTTGAGTTTAAGAAATTTATGTGAAGAAAGTCTTAATGGTGCAGAGGTTAAAAAGAAGAGTATTTTAAAAAAGGTGAGGTGGGCGTGGGGACCCATCATGACTAGCTAATGATAATCAAGAAATAGAAGAAGGGGGTTGATTTGAGAAAATTGAGGGGAAAAACCTACACTTTTCACTACAGCTTTTTTTTTTTTTTTAAAGCTCCCGTATTTAGTATTAAATAAGTGAAAATTTCTTGTATAATTTGTAAATTTTAACTTTGTGAGATTGGCAGGTTTTATAAAGAGATGTCTTTGGATTTAATGGCATCAGTACTATTTTATGCTTAAGTCTTTGTGCACAATAAGGAGTTGATTTTTTTGTTCATTTTGTTTATTTTTGATTCTGTAACTGAAATTAAGATCTTGTCTAGAATCTTATTTCTGGGATAGGAAAACCTTAGCCATATGGCGAAGTAGGAAATCTGCATTAAGCAGTTTCAGAAACTCTTTTCAACCATGGTATATTATTGTCTCTAGTAAAGAATATTGAATATTTTTGACTTAGCTTTCCCCATCCCCACCCCTCAGTTTTCTTCTGCTACTATTTAAACTCTCCTCTGCTTTTCTTTTCTCCTTTTTATATTTTCTTAAATTTTCTCTTGAAACGTTCTTTCATTTATCTATCAACTTTCTTCTCCAGTGTTAGACCTCTTACGTCTAATGAAATCAAATCCTTATTTTTGTTAGCAGATTATTTACAGGTTAAGTGTGATCTTTAGCATATAGCATTTTTTGGCTGCTTTTGTTGATGATGCTAGGAGCTCAGGGTTCTGATATTGTTCCC